TCAGATGATTATTAAAATAATTTGTTCAAAATTTGAAGAATCTAGTTCTATTAGTTTCCCAGTTAAACGAAATTTTGTATTTAATTCATATGGGAGGTACCAAGTAACCCATTGGAAGTCCGCCCGTTATATTCTAAATGTTCAGGTAAATGTCAAAGTTCTTCAAGTAAAATTTAATGATTCTAGCTCTAATTGTTTCTCAGATATACGAATTTTTCTATTTTATTCATATGGGGGCTCCAAGCCCCCCAGATGAAAGTCCGCTCTTTTTTCCTTAAAAATGTTCAGATGAATATTAAAGTTCTTCGTGCAAAATTTTAAGAATTTAGTTCTATTAGTTTCCCAGATAAACGAATTTTTGTTTTTAATTAATATGGGAGGTGCCGCTCCCCTCATGGGTAGTCCGCCAATTTTTTACCCAAAATGTTTATATGGATGTTAAAGTTCTTTGTGCAAAATTTTAAGAATTTAGTTCTATTAGTTCCCCAGATAAACGAATTTTTGTATTTAATTAATATGGGAGGTGCCGCTCCCCTCATGGGTAGTCCGCCAATTTATTACCCAAAATGTTTATATGGATGTTAAAGTTCTTCGTGCTAAATTTTAAGAATTTAGTTCTATTAGTTTCCCAGATAAACGAATTTTTGTATTTAATTTATATGGGAGGTACCACGCCCCCTAATGCTAGTCCGCCTACTTTTTGTCCTAAATGATCATATTGACACTAAAGTGGCTCCGACAAAATTTGAGGACTCTAACTGTTATATTATCTAAAATATACGGATTTTATATTTTCTTAATGTGGGCGTGGCTCATCGCCCACTTGAAATTTCGAAATAAAAAGTAGCCTATTACCTATTCCAGACATGCAGGAATATGCTGTGAAAATTTCAAGAAAATCGGTTCAGCCGTTTAGTAGTCTATAACGTTCAAACATACAAACATACAAACAAACACACATTCATTTTTATATATATAGATAGGTTTTGAAGATGTAATGTGTCGTACTGTTCATTCCACAACATTCATTATAACAGATTTCATGAAAATCGGATCAGTAGTTTTTTGTATGCCTGAACGTAAATTTGGTTTAATAATTGTTTTACAAAAAGTTGGTGTAAAAAGGGGCGTGACGTCCGATCCTGATCCTGAGATCAGACCTATCGGTTCAGTAGTTTTCTGTAAGTCTCGAATTAAAATTTTGTATAACAATTACATATATAGAAAAAAGTGAGCATAAGAAGAATCGTGACGTGAAATCATTATTTTATTTAGCCTATTGTTCTACTTTAGAATAGAACTATTAGTGTTCTAAATTTCATGTAAATCGGTTCAGTAGTTTGTCCGTGAAAGCGTAACAAACAGACTGTCTCTTTCATATAATTTTAGGATAAGATATAGGTTAGGATAGTTTTATAATAATTATAATATAATAATTATAGGTAAGGTAGTTTTATAAAAAGTGGGCGTAGAAAGGGCGCGGCATCGGATCAAGTTCTTATATATAGCCTATAGTTCTTTCCAAGCTTATACCTATCGGTATGCAAAATTTCAAGTTAATCGGTTTAGTAGTTTTTGCATATTGTGATTGCAAAATTGGTGTAATAATAGTTTCACAAAAAGTGGGCGTAAAAAGGGGCGTGGCAACCGATCAAGGTCTTATATAGCCTATTGTTCCTTTTGGTGTTAGACCTATTAGCGGTCCAAATTTCATGTAAATCGGTTCAGTAGTTTTGCCGTGAAAGCGTAACAAACAAACAAACAGTCTATTTTATATATATATAGGATTATAGGTTTTGAAGATGTAATGTGTCGTACTGTTCATACCACAACATTCATTATAATAGATTTCATGAAAATCGGATCAGTAGTTTTTTGTATGCCTGAACGTAAATTTGGTATAATAATTGTTTTACAAAAAGTTGGTGTAAAAAGGGGCGTGGTGTCCGATCCTGAGATATGACCTATCGGTTCAGTAGTTTTCTGTAAGTCTCGAGTGCAAATTTTGTATAACAATTATATAGAAAAAAGTGAGCATAATAAGAATCGTGACGTCAAATCATTATTTTATATAGGCTCTTGATCTACTTTAGAATAGAACTATTAGTGTTCGAAATTTCATGTAAATCGGTTCAGTAGTTTGTCCGTGAAAGCGTAACATACAGACATTCTCTTTCATATAATTATAGGATAAGGATAGTTTTATAAAAATCGGACGTAGAAAGGGCATGGCATCGGATCAAGTTCTTATATATAGCCTATAGTTCTTTCCAAGCTTATACCTATCGGTATGCAAAATTTCAGGTTAATCGGTTTAGTAGTTTTTGCATATTGTGATTGTAAAATTGGTGTAAAAATAGTTTTACAAAAAGTGGGCGTAAAAAGGGGCGTGGCATCCGATCAATATCTTATATAGCCTATTGTTCCTTTTGGGGTTAGACCTATTAGCTGTCCAAATTTCATGTAAATCGGTTCAGTAGTTTTGCCGTGAAAGCGTAACAAACACACAAACAAACAGTCTGTTTTATATATAAATATAGGATAGAATATAGAATATAATTATATATATAGGTTTTGAAGATGTAATGTGTCGTACTGTTCATTACACAACATTCATTATAACAGATTTCAAGAAAATCGGTTCAGTAGTTTTTGTATGCCTGAACGTCAATTTGGTTTAATAATTGTTTTACAAAATGTTGGTGTGAAAAGGGGCGTGGCGTCCGATCCAGATCCTAAGATCGGTATACCAAATTTCATGTAAATCGGTTCAGTAGTTTCTCGAATGAAAATTTTCTATAACAATCATATAGAACAAGTTAGAATGCTATATTTGGCTCTGCCGAATCTTAAATACCTTCCACCTGCAAACTACTTTTTATTAAATCCCAATATAAATATGTCATAAATGGTTAAAGTTATAGGGCCGAATTTATAATTTATATACCAAAGAAATAAATTTTACTTAAGTATTAAAATACATACTAAGTACTAAAGTACTTATTTCCCTTATGGAGAAATGTAAAACCCGACACAAGATTTGTTTTCCGTAATTAAGATACTATTTATCATTTTGTAACTTCTTTATGCATGTATGTATGTAACTAATTTGGATTAGGCCCTGAAACATTGGTATTAAGTGATTTTCAGATACCGACCGATTATTCTTCGACTTATTATGTGCCGATCCTGCTGATAATTTATATGGGAACTATGACCAATAATGGACCAATTCGAAAAAAAAATAATCGAAATGATAATCTGTACACAGAACATACTCATGTCGAGTTCAATAATAAATTATGTGGCATTAAGTGGTGTTTCAGAAGGGAACCTTTATGGGAGCGAGGGAGGGACGGGAGGAGGCTGAAAAAATTCCGAAGAGGGTAACCAAGTATGGTACCGATGTTGAAAAGGTGCACGAAGAGAGAGGAGATAGATATAGATATAGAGAGATATATATATAATAGATATAATATATAGATATATATATATAATATATAATATAATATATATATATATAATATAATATATATATATATATGTGAACATTTTCAACATCGGTCCATAATTGGTTACAATTTTATTTAAGAAAACTTGAAAGTCGGGCTTCTGATTCAGCTTTCAGGATCCATATGGTCAATCAAGCTTCGAAAAAAACGAATGTTAACATAAAAATTAAAGTAAAGAGTATACTTTTATATTAAGAATTTAATAATAATTAAAATTTTTAAAAATAAGTGCAAAAGTTGTTTAAGAAATATCTGCTTATGTCCCCAGTGTAGTACTGTGAATAGTTCTATTATTTTTTCCAATGCCAAATTTTTTAAATACCAATAAAATACGATAGAGCATAAAAACTTACAAACTCCATTTATCATAGGAAAGTACACCTAAATACCTTTTATTTAAGATACAAATCATGAAATTGTAACGGGTACTTTTTGAGAAAATTTTAGTTTTCGCCCCAAAATAAAGTCGTTTCTATTATTTTTTTTCTGAATGTTGAAAAATTTCAGAAATTGATCTATGGACATAAAGCACATTTTTTAGTTTACTCTAACGGGAGAATACTTAAGTATAATCCCAGTAACAAATTTGTAGACTTTAGGAAGCTAAAAAGGGACCTAACTGCATCTGTATTCGCTTACTGTTAAGCCTTACTGAGAAGCAGGAAATAAGAGAATACCAATGATAGGAGTAATTTTATAATATAAGCTGAAAAAAATTAAAAGCTTACTACTATCCCTTACAGAGAAGCAGGTTGTAGTGAAGTATTTAAATAATATTTAAGCTTACTCTTGTCCCTTTAAAGGAAGCAGGTTGTACTGCAAAGACTATTGAAATCGGCAGTTTTACCGAGACTTTTCTGGCAAAAAAAAACACATTTAAAATTACATAATAAAGATTTTATTATAAATATAAATCTATAAAGTGATTTTAATTAATTAATACATTTTTAATGTAAGAAATATCTTTTTTAAAATTTATTAAAGTGTGTGTTTATTATAGTGTATGTGTATTATTGCTTTTGGTTTTTCTTGTTTCTGTTTTTTAATACTTCTGCTTTTGTCCATGTTTGTGTTGTTTAGTGTTTTGATTTGTAGAAAAGTTAACGGCGTTTTGTGTTTGTTTTGTTTTTTTTTTTTTTTTTGAAATAGTTAGTTCTGTTATTGTTAAATAATATGCCGAAAGTGGTTGGAAGAAGACTATTTAAACAAATTAAAAAGAAAAGAGGTATATAAAAAATTTATTTAATCTTGTTCATTTCAATGAACAAAACACCCATCCCTGATGTCAAACAACACCCACCTCTCAACTGCAGCCAACTTCAGCTTAGGCACACTAAAGCTAGCTGCCGCTTTATTATCTTCACTTCAAATATAATTTTGCAAGTAACAACAAGTGTGTGAGCGCTAAAACAAACCAAGTAAAACAACAACCCCTACAACAGACAGTGAGAATTCAAAGTGTCTTTTAAATACATAAATTACAAAACCTAAACCTAGTGCTAAAACTTAAAACTAGTGGTAAAATATATAACCTGTGTTAAAACCCTAAACCTAAGAATAAATAGTAAACCCTAAAATAAAATTCTTAATTATCACAGTGAATATCACAGTTAAAAACATGAAACAATATAATAAAACCCTAAACCTAAATTAAAACCCTTAAGCCTAAAAAAGAATTGAAAATAAAATAAATACATTAAATACTTACCCTATATATTAAATACTTACCCTATATATTAAATACTTACCCTATATATTAAATACTTACCCGTTAGAGTTCAATAAACATATGAATTTATAACGTTTGTGAAAAGAAAAAGAAAAGCGTTTTATTTACTTACATGCTACTTAAGATTAATCTATACCCTACCCTTTCTAACCCGTAATAACATTGGTCCTCACGAACCGTTAAAAGTGAAGTGAAATAGTGATACAGTTCACAAATTAAAAAGAATAAATAATAAATAACATATAAAAGTTCACAATATAAATAAATTAATAAATAGTACCCTACAAACTAGAAAACAAATTACGCTAAACATAAATAAAAAGTGCTAACGAAAATAAACAATACAAAAAGAAACAAAGAAAATTTGTGCGTTAAAATATTAAAAGTTTTAAAACAACAAATAAATAAAGGCAATTTAATAAAAACAATTATTGTTTACAAATAAATTAAATAATAACACACAAGAAAAACAACAAAAAAGTGCACAAAAATACAACACAACATTATTAAAATATTTAAACAAAAATTGTGAACAAAAAACAATACCCAAAAAATACAAATTAACCCTTATTTATATACATAAATTTACATACTTACATTTATATTGAACAAAAATTATTAACACAAAACATAATAACAAAATATTACAAAATTATCCAAATATAAAAAACCACATTAAAATATATACACAAAAAGTACATACAGTGACCGTCGACAATTACAACAACAACACTACCCATATTATCAACACGCATCATAGCGGGAAGACGACACAAAGAGGAATCGACAACACAAGGAATTTTTTTTTATTATTTTTATATTATTGTGGTTTGTACCCTACCCCCAGCAAAAAAGGTGAGTCGAAATTTTTGCTATTTATACAAAATTTTTTATTTCCAATTTCTTTTGCAAATTTGTTCCATTACTCTTCAGCAATATAATATAAAATATTGTTCATTTTAAACCCACCCAAACCCTTTCAAAATATTTAACCCTTTATATAAAAAAGTTTAAAATATTTTTTATATTGCTTCTAAGGAACTTATATTGCATATTAAGTTAATTAGCGCACACATTAACGAATTAATACCCAATTGGAAATTTTGTCAGCTGGAACAAAAGTAATTTTTTGGAACAGCTAAAGCAAAAAACTCACACTTTTTTCAATTTTTTAAAAAAGAAAAAAAAAATTTCTTTATAGAAATATATATTTTTTGAGAAGTCTCTTTTTGTGAATTTTTTTTCCGAAAACCCAATATGTCTACCCTAGAGTCTGTGGCCGCCGATTTGTTAAGATATATCCAAACGGATTTAAAGTCGTTTGATGAAGATTATCGCGCTACCCCGGAAAGTTTCCGATCTCTACCCGCTCTTAAATTCCAAAAACGGGAATTAAGTGAATTATGGGCTAAAATTGACCGTAAATTCACCCAAATTAGAGAATCTGCCGATATTCTGGATCCGAAGAAAGCTGAAGCCATAAATTTAAGCGAAGTTGTTAGGCAAGTCAGATCTGCTAAAGGATTTTATAGGTCAAGTATGATCTCGATTGACGAATCTATTGAGGAGATTACGAAGGAAAATGAAACCCGACCATCTTTACCCGAACCCCCACAACCCAGCAGTTCTGCAGGTTTCACTGTACCCCCTTGTGATATGCCAACGTTCAGCGGAGATTTCAAAAGCTGGGCTTCGTTTAGGGATCTTTTCAAGGCCATTTATGGCAATAATACCCGTTTAAGTGGAGTTGAAAAACTTTTCCATCTTAAACAAAAAACAAGCGGCGAAGCCAAAGAAATAGTAGACAATGCACCCTTAACAAATGATGGCTTTCTTATTGCGTGGAATCAATTAGCTTCTCAGTATGAGAATCGTAGGATGCAAATTAACGCGCAATTAAAAACCCTATTGAATTTACCCTTAGTAAGCACCATGTGTAGTGCTTCTATAAGAAAGCTTCAGAGAAAGATAAATTGTTGTATTGCAAATCTGAACTCTTTAGACATAGATACGGATCAGTGGGATCCTATCTTAGTATATTTATGCACATCGAAATTACCCAGAGAAACCCGAAGAGAATTTGAGAAATCTCTTCCAGATTGTGCAGAGATGCCTTCTTGGACTGACTTAGATGTATTTTTAACTAACACATTTAAAGAACTAACTTCGGTTAATGATGTCCAGGACCATAGTATTAACCATACCCACCCTAAACCCAAACAATTCCAAGATGTTAGAACACAATATGACAGAAAAGGCAAAACATTTCATAACGTAACAAATGATTCGAATGGGAAAAACCCAAAAAATCAACCAAAACCCATAAAAAACCCACCCACCCACAACCCACCCACCCAAAACAAACGTAAAACCGAACAAAAATTCCCCCTTCCAACCCAACCAAACAACCCAAGCACCCAAATTAAACATGATGGTTCTATTTGCAAGCTTTGCAGCGAAAACCATACTTTGAGGGAATGTTCGTCATTCAATTCTCTTGGAATAAACGAGAGAATTGAGTTTGTAAAGAAACATGAAATATGTTACAATTGTTTAGCCGTCGGTCATGTCATACAAGCTTGTCGCAGTACATTCATATGTAGATATTGCGGTGGACGACATAATAGTCTATTGCACCGACCAAATTCGAGGATAAACCCACATAATGAAGATAATCAGGCATCTTCATCGTCAAATACAGTTCAGTCTTTCTCAACCCACACCCAATCAAGCAAACCCACACCCATTGATGACAGAACGAAGTTATTAGGAACAGCAGTTCTGAATGTAGAAGTCCAAGGTGAATTGTTTCCAGCTAGAGCGCTTATTGACCCAGCTTCAGATTTCTCATTTATAACAGATAAACTAAGAAGAATGTTACATTTACCCACTACACCCATAGTTGCAGAAATTTCTGGATTAAATGAGATAGTTTCTGCAAGATCAACTAAACTGTGTCAAGTTTCTCTACGCTCGAATACCCATAATAATTTCAAATTGAATATCCAAGCAATTGTAGTGAAAACACTTACAAAAAATTTACCCACCCAAAGTTTAAACCCAACCCTAATAAAAGACTTGGAAGATATTCAATTAGCTGACCAAAAGTTCTATGAAAGCAGACCTATAGACTTTATAATTGGCAGCGATTTTTACCCTCAAATATTGAAATCTGGAGTACGGAAAGATCTTCTCAATACCCTAATAGCTCAGGAAACTGAGTTTGGCTGGATTTTAACCGGACCCATTCAGAACACAAACAATACTCAACCCTTAGTTTCATACTTCAGTTCAGTCACGCTTGATAAAGTTTTGACCAAATTCTGGGAGATTGAAGATATATCCACCCAACCCAAAGTTTCAGAGGAAAGTTCTTTATGTGAAGAAACTTTCATGACCACTACCCGTCGATTACCGAATGGCCGTTATCAAGTTAACCTTCCATTTATATACCCTCCTGTTGAGTTAGGAAACTCTAGACACGTTGCTATGGCTCAATTTCTACGAAACGAGAAAAGTTTAATGAAAAAGCCAGAGCTTAAAATGGAATATGATAACGTGCTACAAGAGTATATCGAATTAGGTCATATGAAACATATAAAATATAACCCAAACACTCCTTCAAACACCCATTATTATTTACCCCATCACGCTGTTGTTAAACTTGATCGTGTTACGACAAAAGTTCGAGTTGTATTTAATGCATCTAGCAAAACCTCGAACGGCAACAGTCTTAATGATACCCTATACACTGGTCCTACCCTACAACAAGATTTAGTTGTACTTATCTTGAAATGGCGCTTTTATAAGATAGTTTATAATGCCGACATTACAAAAATGTACCGGCAAATTATGCTAAACCCTATCCATACACCCTTCCAACGAATATTATTCCGTAAAAGCGTCAACGAACCCATTCAAGATTATGAACTGCAAACAGTTACATTTGGTGTTAACTGTGCGCCATACTTGGCTATTAGAACACTACACGAATTAGCCAAAGACATTCAAAATACCCACCCTATCGCTTCGCAAACACTGCGAAATAATATGTATGTAGACGATGTATTAGCCGGAGGTCACACCATTGAAGAAGCTAAAGAAGGCCAAACCCAACTGATCGCAGCGCTTGACTCTGCTGGTTTTCCTTTAAGAAAATGGATCTCAAATACGAGGGAATTGTTGAAAGATTTACCCGAAGATCACCTACTTGATGTGGATTTACTCAACCTTCCAGAATCGAATAATGCCAAAACATTAGGAATCCGATGGAATGCTAAAGAAGATACGTTTTTCTTTAATGTACCCTTAATTGAAAGAAAATCAGCATACACAAAGCGAACTGTGTTATCAGACATTGCTCGTCTTTTTGACCCAGCTGGTTGGTTAGCGCCAATTGTTATATCTGCCAAGATTATTATGCAGCAAATTTGGCAAGATAATACAGCTTGGGATGAATGTCTTAACCCACTCACCCTTATAAAATGGCAAAAGTTTTTGCAGTTCTACGATAATATTAATAGAATTCATATTCCAAGATGGATTAACTTTTCACCTTCAGCAAAAATTGAGTTTCATGGTTTTTCAGATGCTTCTGAAAAAGCATACTCGGCATGTCTGTATGCACGAGTAACACCCATAGACGGACCTAATTCCGTAACCCTACTCTTCGCTAAGACGAGAGTTGCGCCAATCAAAGTAATCTCGTTACCAAAACTTGAACTTTGTGGTGCAGTGTTGTTGGCAAATATGACACATAATTTACTCACCCAACTCAACCTACCCTTACATCAGACGTATTTCTGGACCGACTCATCTATAGTTTTGGCCTGGCTTAGTAAACACCCTAACTCGTGGAACACATTTGTAGCAAACCGAGTTTCTACAATAATCCAGACTGTCGGCGTTGAAAATTGGAACCATGTTGCTTCACACGATAATCCTGCCGATGTTGCTAGCCGAGGATGTAATGCTGATGAGTTAAAAGATGACACTTTATGGTGGAATGGACCATCGTGGTTGAAAGAAGTCGCGTCGAAGTGGCCAACAACAAATAAACACTTCATTACTCAAGCTGAAGCTAAAGTTAGTCAGTCGTTTACTACGACCGTTAATACCCACCCTTCCTTGGTTAATACGAATACAGAAAACCCAGATATATTATCAAGATTTTCGAAATTGTCAAAAGCTCTAAGAGTAATGACATATGTCTATCGATTTTGTGATCGCGCATCGTATAAACGGAACAATACTATTCGAAATGATAGAATTATTCTTGATCAAAATAACCCAAAACTAGTCAAAGAAAGACTACGTTTATTAACTACCCACCCAAGTATTGAACTGGATGCGTCAGAGATCAAATCTACCCGTGATAGACTAATTATTCTTTGTCAGACTGAATATTTTAGAAACGAATATAACTGTCTGAAGAAAAGAAACCCTATACCCAATAAAAGTAACCTGCTCACCCTAACGCCATTTTTAGATTCCGCAAATATAATGCGGGCAAATGGTCGACTAGCAAATTCCAACGGTTTGTCATATTCTGAAAGGCATCCGGTTTTATTACCCTACGGCAGTTCATTTGCTAAATTATTAACCCAACACGTGCACCTGATAACACTTCACGGAGGAAATCAACTTATGTTGAGAGTAATACGTTCAGGATACTGGATCCCAAAACTGAAAAATCTGATTAGCGCGGTAATTAACAAATGCTCACCGTGTACTAGATACAAGAATAGACAAACTACCCAATTTATGGCAGCATTACCACCCGAACGTACCCAAATAAATAAACCATTCACAAATGTTGGAGTTGATTTTGCAGGACCATTCGACATTAAAATATATAATGGCAGAGCATGTAGAATAACAAAAGGTTACGTATGCGTTTTTGTTTGCTTTGCAACAAAAGCTATTCACTTGGAGCCAACATCTGATTTGTCTACCCAAGCCTTTATGGCAGCCTTTGCTCGATTTTTTTCGAGGCGGGGATGCCCTGTCGCTATTTACTCTGACAATGGGACAAATTTCATCGGAGCTAGCAAGCTATTGAAGAAAGAGCGACAAGAATTCATCAAGCAATTGAAAGGTTCCATTACATCCACTAGCAGTTTTCAAAATTTGACGTGGCATTTCATACCCCCAGGAGCACCACACATGGGTGGTTTATGGGAAGCGGGAGTGAAAAGCTTTAAGGCTCATCTAAAGAAAATGAATACCCTGAAGTACACTTTTGAAGAGCTAGCTACACTCCTCGCGAGAATAGAAGGATGCCTGAATTCAAGACCCTTAAGCCCGTCAAGCGAGAACCCACAGGATCTTAACCCTTTAACTCCAGGACACTTTTTAATTGGATCACCCATTTTAACCCCAGCAGAACCCGATGTAAGCAATGAAAATATAACCCTGGCAAACAGATGGCAAAAGTTAAAGATTCAACATCATAACTTTTGTAGAAGATGGAAAGATGAATATCTTAAAGAGCTCCATAAGAGATACAAGTGGAAAAACCCTCAACGTCAAGTTGAAACAGATGACATTGTTATTATCAGACAGGACAATTTACCTCCAAACGAATGGTTACTCGGTCGAGTCATTAAAACATACACTGGCCCTGATGGACAAAACAGAGTAGTCGATATACGGACGTCATCCGGAACGTTAACTCGACCAATAACAAAAGTTGTCATTTTACCCACTAGCTAGTTTAACCTTCTAGTATAACCCAAATAACATTAAGTTGTTTACTTACCCCTTTTAACCCATTTAACACACTTATCCACTTGTAACTACTAGTCATCACTAACTCTTCACCCTCATACTCTAACCCACTAACACATTCATTACCCTTCATTCATTCACACATAATTTCTTTTATACAGAATATGGCACCCAACAACAACAATCGTAAAGGACGTTCCAACCGTTCCGACCGCAATGGATCTCGACCCAAAACCAACCAACGCAAAAACGATAAGCGTCAACCAAAACGCCACTTTGGTTGCGGTATTTGTCAAGCTGATCACAGCTTAACAAACTGTAAAAAGTTTAAAAAGATGAACTTGGCGGAGAAGTACAAAACCGCAGTTAAATTGCACTACTGCGTCAATTGTCTGGCCAGGAATCACCTAATCGGAAAATGTTCAAATAAATCCCGATGCCAAAAGTGCAAGGGTAAACATCACACCACCCTGCACGGCCCAGATCGGATCCTGAAAGATTTGCCAAAGGAACAGTCTCCACCGCCCGTAGCAAAAAGGACTATTGCTCCGATTCCTGCGCCACGAACTATTGTGATGCCAATTGTAGCAACCACTTTGCCAACGTCCCGAACCCAAACCATTGTACCTACGGTTGTAGTTCAGGTTGTGACAGACAAATCGAAACAACTCGTTAGAGCTGTCTTAAACCCGAGCCTAACCACCTCAAAAATAGGCGTAGCGTTTGTGCGCGAATCAACACTAAACCCTTTTAAAGTGGATGAAAGTGTTTACGTGAAGGTCATAATATCACCTAATATGGCCTCCACAATACAATATGAGGTGTGCATGCAGGTTTCAAATGACCTGCCAAGAAACCCTTACGCTCATGGTTTGGACCCAGCTATAAAAGGGAAGTTCTGCCGAATTTCTCTGGCCGACCCAGAATTTTATGCCAATGCACCCGTAGCCATGGAAATAGGTGGTGATTTGTATACCACCATTTTACAGCCTAACACGATCCATATTGATGGCGGCTCACTGATAGCCCAGGATTCAACCCTGGGTTGGCTAGTTATGGGATCCCTTACCAATTAAAAATATAATAAAGTATTTTACTATAAATTACCCTCACTTTCTCTAACCCAATGTTGAACAAATGAAAATAATTGTTCTTTTTCTTCACAGGTTGCCAGGCCCGGGAGGATGTTCATTTCAATGAACAAAACACCCATCCCTGATGTCAAACAACACCCACCTCTCAACTGCAGCCAACTTCAGCTTAGGCACACTAAAGCTAGCTGCCGCTTTATTATCTTCACTTCAAATATAATTTTGCAAGTAACAACAAGTGTGTGAGCGCTAAAACAAACCAAGTAAAACAACAACCCCTACAACAGACAGTGAGAATTCAAAGTGTCTTTTAAATACATAAATTACAAAACCTAAACCTAGTGCTAAAACTTAAAACTAGTGGTAAAATATATAACCTGTGTTAAAACCCTAAACCTAAGAATAAATAGTAAAACCCTAAAATAAAATTCTTAATTATCACAGTGAATATCACAGTTAAAAACATGAAACAATATAATAAAACCCTAAACCTAAATTAAAACCCTTAAGCCTAAAAAGAATTGAAAATAAAATAAATACATTAAATACTTACCCTATATATTAAATACTTACCCTATATATTAAATACTTACCCTATATATTAAATACTTACCCGTTAGAGTTCAATAAACATATGAATTTATAACGTTTGTGAAAAGAAAAAGAAAAGCGTTTTATTTACTTACATGCTACTTAAGATTAATCTATACCCTACCCTTTCTAACCCGTAATAACAAATCTCTTGAAGGCAACAGAAAATAGTCCAGAAGAAATTCCAAATATCGAAATTATTTCTAATTTTGAGAATTCAGAAGTAGATGTAATAGCTGATGATAAAAACGGGACATTAAGAGAAAATATAAGGGAATGGTATATAAAATATCGCCCATCTGTGGCAAGTACATCAGCCATTTTACATATTTTAAATAGTGTACATTCAGAAATACCATTGAGTTGAGGGTTTCATATAAGCAATACTGTAATATCTTCACATCAGCTATGAATTCACGTCTTCTGGAAAAGCATTAGGGAAGAGCTTTTGTAAACAATGAAAGAAGTAATGCCATAGAAACATGAAATAAGTGCTTACTTATAGCTGTTACTCACAGCTGAATGTAATGAGTGAAAACACGCTTCATTTTTTAAAGAGTAATGCTTTCAAGTGGGAATTCACTATGTAAAAATCATGCCTTATCGAAGCAGGTTTGTAAGGGAGAAAATAGCTAAAAATAAAAATAGAAACCACTTAAAATCCCGGGTACAAAAATCTAGTATATATATATATATATATATATATATATATATATATATATATATATAGGTAATAGGCTACTTTTTATTTCGAAATTTCAAGTGGGCGATGAGCCACGCCCACATTAAGAAAATATAAAATCCGTATATTTTAGATAATATAACAGTTAGAGTCCTCAAATTTTGTCGGAGCCACTTTAGTGTCAATATGATCATTTAGGACAAAAAGTAGGCGGACTAGCATTAGGGGGCGTGGTACCTCCCATATAAATTAAATACAAAAATTCGTTTATCTGGGAAACTAATAGAACTAAATTCTTAAAATTTAGCACGAAGAACTTTAACATCCATATAAACATTTTGGGTAATAAATTGGCGGACTACCCATGAGGGGAGCGGCACCTCCCATATTAATTAAATACAAAAATTCGTTTATCTGGGAAACTAATAGAACTAAATTCTTAAAATTTTGCACAAAGAACTTTAACATCCATATAAACATTTTGGGTAAAAAATTGGCGGACTACCCATGAGGGGAGCGGCACCTCCTATATTAATTAAAAACAAAAATTCGTTTATCTGGGAAACTAATAGAACTAAATTCTTAAAATTTTGCACGAAGAACTTTAATATTCATCTGAACATTTTTAAGGAAAAAAGAGCGGACTTTCATCTGGGGAGCTTGGAGCCCCCATATGAATAAAATAGAAAAATTCGTATATCTGAGAAACAATTAGAGCTAGAATCATTAAATTTTACTTGAAGAACTTTGACATTCACCTGAACATTTAGAATATAACGGGCGGACTTCCAATGGGTTACTTGGTACCTCCCATATGAATTAAATACAAAATTTCGTTTAACTGGGAAACTAATAGAACTAGATTCTTCAAATTTTGAACAAATTATTTTAATAATCATCTGAATATTTTGGAGGAAAAAGGGCGGACTTTCATCCGGGGGGCTTGAAGCCCCCACATGAATTAAATTCGTATATCTGAGAAACTATTAGAGCTAGAATCTTAAAATTTTACATGAAGAACTTTGACATTCATGTGAACATTTAGAGAATAACGGGCGGACTTTCAATGGGGGGCTTGGCACCACATATATGAATTAAGTACAAAATTTCGTGCATCTTGGAAACTCTTATATTATTCAAATTTTTTGTAGATAGATAGAAATTGGCGATAGATAGAAACTGGCGAACTTGCAATAATTTGCTTGACATCTTTTATATGTAACATATAATAAATCTGGTATTTATTTATACATATTCCTTTTAGGGTAGCAAAGCACACTGGGTATAGCTAGTATATATATATATATATATATATATATATATATATATATATATATATATATATATATATATATGTATGCTTACCGCATACTTCGGGGACAGTGTTTCGATCTAACGCATAGGACATTTGCATACTTTGGGGACTGTCCCCAAAATTTTATATGCCTTGCGCATAGTTTGGGGACATGTTACTTTGAGGACATTTTTTCCAATTTTTTTTATTGCATATTTAGATTCCGCTATGTTAAATATACTATACTTAAATATTTTTTTGTTAATGTATACGGCTTTAATGCCTTAATTTTTGATTTTAAAAATTTATTTTTGATTTTGGGGTTACCACACTTTTATGCCAAATTAGGAATTTTACGACTTTGAAATATTACCACCAATGTCATCGTGGTGACTTTGGAGCTTGTATTATTTCGCGCCAATACAAAATGACACTTACCGACATTGTTGACACTTGATAGATATTTTAATGCTATAAACACGAGGGTAATGAAATGGGAAAAAATTTTTTTAGATATGTAGTAGATCGATTGCCATACAATTTGTGCATAGGGGCATTTTTATAGAAAGAAGTCTAATTTAAAGAGCTAAAAAATTTAATTTTGAAAACATTTAAAAACGCATTAAATTTTGCTCGTCATTCCACATTCTTATCTTTTTCTGAAAAAGTCGACTTAAAACAACCTTTCGAATGTTACTAACAAAGCTTAAGTGATATTTTATGAATTTTAATCATATTTGATTAAAAAAATATGTCCTCAAACTATAAGCAAATCGAAAGTCCTCAAACAATGCAGTACATAGAAAAAATGCACCCAAACTATGCGCATGTAAATAATTATATACATTCAAATATATATATAAACAAGAAAATTCTTTAACTATCACTTGTTTAGCCCAAAACGTGTTAATGAAAATAATATAATATTATGTATAATTTTAGCACTGTAGTTTCCGAAAATTTCACACATTGTTAACCCTATCTACATTTGATAAAAAAAAGTGTTAAGCCAAATTTTTTTTAAATAATTGTCTGGGTAGTTTTTCATAAGAATCTCTGAAATATCAAATGGACGATATATCGGTCCATGAATTCACATATCATTTGAAAAAATAAATTTTTAACGACTATTGTCGATATCTTTCGAAATTTTTTAATTCTTTTGTAAAATTTGCAAATTTCTAAATTTGTTTCCTAAAAAATTTGATCTTTTAAGACTTCTTCTTAAGATTTTTTTTTTCAAATATTGCTCAAACTTGTACTAATTTTTACGACTTTTCCAAGTTTGTTCAACATTGTTGACACTTTTGGATTTTTGTGGAAAAAGTCGACTTTAAACGACTAAAAAAGTTGACTTTAATTTTAAACACATTTTTCATCATTTTGGATTAATTAGAGTTCTTTTAACTAAAAATATGAATATAAAGTCGTTTCAACTTGAGAATTTTTCTGACTTCCTTGTTTTTTCACAAAATGTCGACTTTAAACCACTTTTATGAGAATATATCCACATCACCTTAAGTGAAAAATTCTAAACTTGATAAAAAGTGTTAAGTCAAATTATGGAATTATTTTAATAAGAAGTCGACTTTCTGCAATCTTTATCCGATTTTGAAAATAATTATCGGGAGCGGATTTTTATAAGAATTTTTACAAGAATATATCGGATAGCCAATTTTATGTTCTTTTACGATTTTTTAGAAAAACTTTCGAATTTTTTCGACTTTCTAAATTTGTCCAAAAATCTTGATTTTATATGTTTTTTTTTAGGAAAAAGTCGACTTCATGTGATTAAAAAATTTACATTAAACAAATTTTTAACAATTGTTTTACCCCATATCTATATTAGACAAATATTTATCACGGCACTTGACAAAACGTCGGCAGAAAATTGTCAGTTTTTTGTGTATGTTAATACATAGGGGTAACAAAATGCTGATTTTATCACGACAACTCACAGATAATTTTATTGAAATAGTGCTATATTTTATAAAAACAATTAAAATTAAATACAAATTTTGTAAATAAACACTAATTTCACTAAATCTTATGTTAAAAATCTATTTTAATTACACAAAAACAAAATTCTAAACAAATTTTACAATAAAATGACGTTTGTTATCAAGACAACGTTGTCTATACAATTGTTTAGACAACACTGTCATAACGATGTTATAACGCTAATAAATGCCGTTCGTCCCAGCTAATTTTTTATCATGATAACAATTTGACGTTTAGCATAATAAATATTTGTCTAATATAGACACGGGGTTATTCTTTATTCATCATTCTTGACTAGATCGAGTTGTTTTAACATAAAATATAAATACGAATTTTCCGATTAGTTTTTAAAAAAAGTTGACTTAAACAACTTTTACGATGCAAAAGTTATATTATTTCCATGAATCGTCTATTTTGTAATATGGAAATGTTAATGTAAGTCGAAAATTCTTTAAAAACATAGGACAAAATAAAAATAGGCGATATAGGTCCACAACACGATATATTGTATGAACTTCGAGTATTTAACTAAAAGTGTATACTTTTTACTACTAATCTCAAATTTTTCGATTTTTTATTTATTTTTAAATTTTTGACTTTTACGATAATTTGACTTTAAAGAGCAATATTTATTTACCGAAAAAGTCGACTGTAAAGTACATTTGATTACAATAAATATACGATTTATCGTAATAATTTAACTTTTGCATATTTTAAAATATAATTTTTTTGCAAAAAACAATGAAGTCAGAAAAATTCCAATTTTGTCGAAATGACGTTTAAAAACTTTTTTAGTAGTTTAAAGTCGACTTTTACCATAAAATCCATATAAACTCTAGAGAGTAGGACAAATGTAAAAAAGTCGTAAAAATTAGTTTAAGTTCGAGTAAAATTTGAAAATTTTTCAAAAGTCTTCAAAGATCGACTTTTTAAGAAAAAAAAAAAATTGAGAAACCCGAACATTTTACAAGAACATAAAATTGGCCCTCCGCCTCGAGAAAATCGGACAAATTCGGTTTTTTATTATTATATAACTTATTTAAAATGTTCGAAATTCCAAAATTTTCGAAAGATTTTGAAAATAGTCGTTAAAATTCGACTTTATCAAATTATATGTGAATTCATACACCGATGACGTTTAAATTCATCAT